GCTAGACTCACTGAATGAAAAAGAGAAAGGACACAAATAAACAAAATCAGGAACGAAAGAAGAGAAATTATGACAGACACTACAGAAATACAAAGGAATAAAAGAATAGTATGAAAAAAGTATATAACACCAAATATAATGACCTGGGTCAGTACTTAAAAATTTAACCATCCTAGACTGAATCAAGAAGAACTGGAAAATCTAAATAGACTAATCAGCAGTACGGAAATTGAAACAATCATCAAATCATCAAAAACCTACCAAAAAGTAAAAGTCCAGGACCAAATGGCTTTAATAATGAATTCTACCAAACATTCAAAGAAGATTTAATATCTATTCCCCTCAAACTCTTCTAAAAAATTGAAGAAGAGATTGTACTTCCCCAACTCATTTTATGAGGCCAATATTACCCTGATATCAAAACCTGGTAAAGATAACAACAACAACAAAAAACTACAGACCAATATCTCTCATGAACACAGATGCAAAAATCCTAAATAAGATACTAGCAAACAGAATACAGCAACATATTAAAAGAATTATACACCATGATCAAGTGAGCTTCATCCTAGGGGCACAGGGATGGTTCAACATATGCAAATGAATTAATGTGATACACCACAAAAATAAATCAATAAATAAGAATCATATGATCGTATCAATAGATGCAGAAAAAGTCTTTGACAAGACACAGCATCCACTTATGATCAAAATGGATCTATACCACTTAATAAAATTAGTATAGAAGGAAAGTACCTTAACGTCATGAAGGCCATATATGACAAACCCTCAGCTAACATTATACTTAATGGTGAAAAAATAAAAACTTTCCTTCTAAGATCAGGAAAAGGCAAGATTGTCCACTATTGCCACTATTATTCAATATAATGTTGGAGGTTTCAGCGAGTGCTAGCAGGCAAGAGAAAGATATAAAAGGCATCCAAATAGAAACGAAGAAGTCAAACTGTCACTATGTGTGGATGACATGATTCTCTATATAGAAAACCCTGAAGACTCCACAAGAACACTATTAGAAACAATAAGTAAATACAGCAAAGTTTATGGATACAAAAATCAATGTTCAGAAATCCATAGTGTTCCTATATTCTAATGGTGAAGTGTCAGAAAAAGAAGTGGAAAAAATAATTCCTTTTGCAATTGCAACAAAAAGAATAATATACCTAGGAATAAATCTAAGAAAACATGTGTAAGATCTATATAATGAAAACTATAAGACCCTATTAAAAGAAATTGAATAAGATACAAAGAAATGGAAAGATATTCCATGTTCTTGGATTGGAAGAATCAACATAGTTAAAATGACCACATTACCTAAAGCATTATACAGATTTAATGCAATCCCTATTAAAATCTCATTGGCATTTTTTACAGAAGGAGAACAAAAAAGCATCAGATTTGTATGAAAGGACAAGAGACTCCGAATTGTCAAAGCCATTCTGAGAAAAAAGAATGAGGCTGGAGGCATCACTCTGTCTGACTTCCAATTATACTACAAAGCAACAGTAATCAAAACAGCATTGGTAGCAAAACAGACATATGGACCAGTGGAACAGAATCAAGAATCCAGAAGTAAACCCATATTTATATGCACAAATGATTTTTGACAAATAAACCAAAAACATACAGTGGAGAAAGGAAAGCCTCTTCAATATGTGGTACTAGGAAACTGTAAAGCCACCTGCAAAAGAATAAAACTGGACTGTTGTCTATCACCACACACCAAAATGAACTCAAAATGGATTAAAAACCTGAATATAAGACCTGAAACAATAAAATGCATAAAAGAAAATATAGGAACTAAACTCAAGGACCTTGGACTTAAAGAGGATTTTGTGAATTTGACCTCAAAGGCAAGGGAAGTAAAAGCAAAAATAAATGAATGGGACTACATCAAACTAAAAAGCTTCCACGCAGCAATAGAAACCGTCAATAAGATATAGAGACAACCATCTGAATGGGAAAATACATTTGCAAGCAACGCTTCCAATAATATCTAAAATATACAAAGAACTCATGCAACTCAATAACAACAAAAAACAAATGATCCAATCAAAAAATGGGCAGAGGACCTGAACAGATACTTCTCCCTAGAGAACATACAAATGACCAACAAATATTTGATAAGATGCTCAATATTGCTAGCTGTAGGAAAATGCAAATCAAAACCACAATGATACACTATCTCACACCTGTTAGAATAGCTATTATTAACAGAACAAATGTTGGAGAGGATGCAGAGAAAAAGGAATCCTTATACACTACTGGTGGGACTGCAAATTGGTACAGCCACTATGGAAAACAGTATGGAGGTTCCTCAAAAAACTAAGAATGGATCTTCCGTACGATCCAGCAATCCCTCTACTGGGTAGTTACCACAAATACTTGAAAATTCATATCCAAAAAGATATTTGCATACCATTGTTCATAGCAGCATTACTTATGGTGTCCAGGAAATTGAAGCAATCGAAGTGTTCTAAGATAGATGATTGGGCAAAGAAGCTGTGGCACATATATACAATGGAATATTACTCAGACATAAGAGGAGATGAAATGCTGCCATTTGCGACAACATGAATGGATCTTGAGATAATCATGCTAAGCGAAATAAGCCAGACAGAAAAAGTTGAAAATCATGTAAACCTTAAAGCAACAAATGAGCAGGACAAACAAACAGAGACTCATGGACATGGACTAAAGATTAGTGGTTAACAGAGGGTAGGGGAAAGGGGAAAAGTAGATGGGGTAAAAGGTGTCAAATATGTGGTGACAGAAAGAAATCTAACTATGGGAGGTGAAAACACAGTGTAAATATATGTATGCGTTACTGTTAAAATATACAGCTGAAACTTATTGTATTTCGTTAACCAATGTCGCCATAAAAATTAATTAATTAATTAATTTAAAAAATTTTTAAATAAAAAGAGAAAAATAAAAAAATTATTTTTAATGAAATAAAAATACTATGGGTTTTACAACGTGAAAATACACAAAAAACAAGTAAAAATAATTACTTTATCAAGTGAATTACTTTATCAAGTGAATCATGCATATATTACAGTGAATATCATGTTTTGTGGTATATAGAGAATGAGGGTTGTGTCAGGGAACAGATTTGATCTGAGTACTTTTGAGAGATTAGGCTGATTCTAATTATATCCCCCTCCTGTTGGTCGAGTTATCCTCACACCTCCCCCCTACACCTTCTTGGCCCCACCTATTATTTAGCAGCAAAGCCAACCACTCACATCAGATCTTGACAAATCCCTCCTTGGCTGTGCCCTGTCTGACATAACCTGGAGGTTTTCGAAGATGTTAATCTATCCCTGCCCTCTTTTACCTGCTTCAGACCAGAGTACCATTTTCTCCAACATTCAAGCCTCATGAGGGCCCAACTTTAGGACTGACACTTCTCCCGCAGGAGGAGTAAAGTATCAGTGAGCCGACAGTTTGGATTTACAGGTAATAAGATCATGACTAACATTTGCCGACACAGAGGAGTCGGGAGATCTTTTACTATGTATGGTTACCAGAGTCTAAGAAGCCCCTGAGAATTCTAGACTGAACTAAAGGATGATATTGCACGAGAGAACAGGTAAATTGGGGTATGTGCATGATGGAGGATGACTTGTGTTTAGGTTGTGTGTGTTGGTAGGTGTAAGTGCATGTTAGTAGGTGGCACTAGGGTAGAGAAGAACCCTGGCCTCCCATGAGGCTGGACATTTTGAACTTGAGGAAAGAAGAGGCATGTAGGGAACACCAAGGAGTGGAGATGTTTTATCTACCTTTCAGCAGGCCTATCTGGGGGTTGCTGTCACTCTCAGTCTGTTTACCCTTGGCTCTACTTGGTATTGGTCTCCCCCATCTACAGAAAGGGAAGTTGTAGGATATGGTCTTAGGATTCCATCATCCACTCAGAAAGAAAGGCAACATTCCATCTCTTCTGTTTTTCTTCTTCCCCCTAAGTCTTCATGCATATATTACTTGCTTTGACACAAGTGTCATATTTTGGGTATCTCAATATCTTTTTTAAAGTTTTTGGACCCAAGGAGAGTTCTCTGATTTCTTCTCATGTGGATGAGAAGAGCAAACTGTATCCTGTGGGCTCCACCTCTGATTTTCTCCCTATTCGCAGCCTAGAGAACTCCCTATAAACAGGGTTGGTGGGACCTGGAGAGGTGGGCGTTAGGACACATTGGAAGAAACTCTCTTTAGAAGTGGGTTGCACATGCCTTTGACCTTGCACTCAAGGTGAGAGTGCGGGCAGGATGAGAACATGGAGTTTCAGGCTTGTGAGAAGTGGACATTGGGTTATTGTGTGCAAGACTATCTGGGTCCCTCTCTGTCCTGCAGGTCACCCATTAGCCAATGGAATCCAACAAATGTCAGTAAGTGGAGCAGGGTCCCAGTATAGGCAAGGTGCTGTTCATGCTTCTTCTAAAGAGTCAGCTGCTAGGAAACTAGTCATATCAAGTCCTAAAAGGAGTAGGTGCTTCCTCTGAAATATCTGGAACTGCCTGCTTGACTCTGGTCTATGTTAGCTTTGGGCTTTCTCCAGGTTACACCCTTAACACTCGAGAAAATGCTACATGAGAAGAACATTTAACTCACACTCTGCTCCCTCCACAGATGCAGAACCAGTCACAATGCAAAGAGCTTCATGCCCAGAGCCACCACTAGACTGAAACTACGCCATATAAGTTCCCGAGTCTTTGAAGGGTAATGGGAAGAATGTACCTGTCTAAGCTTCAGGCTCAGAGGAATGTCCAGGAGGTGTCATTCCAGATGGGTGTCTTCATGACAGCAGGGTAGGGGTGGCCGCCCATAGTTTTGATTGGGGAGGGTGAAGTGGCTGGCAGCTCCCTCCCCCAAAACCCCTGTTTGCAAATCCTCCCATTGGAGGCTGAGGAACAGAGCTCTACTTCCCCAGCAGTGGCAGATTTGCAGTGCACAGATGTTCATCACAGCCTTGGAACCAGGAGCAGACCTCAGTTGCATCTGGGAGATGAAGTTCTCATCCTGGCCCCACAGACAACCCTGCAGCTCATCCTCGGTAACGTGGTCATATTGGTCATTGCTATGCATATCCTGAGGTTGTCTGAGGATTTCCTATTCCCTGCCTATTCCCCGTGGCTCCAGTAAATGAGGGTTGATACCATGTGGGAATTCAATATGGAAGACAAATCTGTTTCAGCCCAGAGAGCAGAGCATGTGCCTGTTTCATGTGCAGAAGATGGGGAAGGCTGCATTAGGCCTCCAACCCTGGATGAGGCCCTCAGCAAACCACAGCCTGGGGATCAGCCCTTCTTCTCTGAGCACCCTCTTCAAACTTCCTTCCAGGGCCACTGCACCCCAGAGCTGCTCCTAGCTGCAGAAGGCTGGGCTGGGGATGCGCCCTCTGCTGGCTGAATTAAGGCTGTACTTCCGTGGTCTAGAGCCCAGTCTCCAGCCCTGCACTCAAACCTCTGCCTCCCTCCCTGAGTCCTCGGACCACCTACAAAGGCCTGGAGATGTCTCTTCTAAGGGGATTGCCCCTGAGTGCCCACACTACAATCAAGAATTGACACATGCCACTCAGGAACAGGGAACCCCTGCTTCTTGAGTGTCTAAGGAGAACCTATCTTACTCATCGTTCTTGTGTCGATTCCAGTTCCAGTGGGAATGTTTGATTTCTTTAGTTCAGTATATTGTTATAAAAGTGTACTGGACCCTTTTACGTTTATTGTTTTAAATGTGTTCGAAATTTTGAAATCACATATAATGCATTATGTTTATATTGGGCTCGTCTGGACAAAAGATAGGATAGCTAAGCCCACAGAAATGGACAGGGGTAAAGGAAGCTCTGCCGCCTTCCCAAGAAAGGTACAATTGACTTCGCCTTGACAGAACACACAACACACACACACACACACACACACACACACACACACACACACACACACACACACATGCACACACTTGAAAATGTATGTAAGCTTGTCAACATAAGAAATGTCCAAACCTGTTGAGAATTTTTATGAGTTTATTTGAGCCAAACTGACAACATATACAGGAGAGCAAGATTTCAAATAACAGTGTTGCAGCTTCTTTAATGCATTTGAAATTACGAAAGGAACTAAGGAAAATCACGTGGAGGTGGGAGAAAGGAAGGTGGGGATTGAATTATAAAATAGTTAACAAGATTATGTGCTCTCTTGAGGGTAGTTACAGCTTATTTCGAAGGTTGTTAATCTAGATGCACAGAAACAATGGATAGGGCTTGCTAAGGCAAATGTAAGTCTTTTAATAAAGAAATTATATGCCTGGGCATGACTGCCCACCATGATATGCCTAGTTAGGAATTTATGATCAGATCTCCCTGTGAGGTTACTTTCCATAGAACCCCCCCCTTTTTTTTCATTCACAGGCTCAACCTCGTTTTCTCCTCTCTGTCTGCCCCCTGCCTGTACACACGCATGTGCACACACGTGCACACACACACACCAATGTCATCATACTGTGAGGTGAGGCATGTGTTAACTAACCTTATTGAGGTTTTCATTTGGATATATATTCTACATATATACGTATATATACACATATATATAATCATTACATTTTACACCTTAAATTCACAACACATTATATTTCAATTATATCTCAATAAAGCTGGGAAACAAAAAGGTTTATCTGGCATTCATATGACCCATATTTACCGTCATTTTGGTAGGTTCGTAGTAAGTGTGTAGTAGTATGTGTATGTGGTATGCGTGTGCACAGTATGTGTGTAGTATGTACTAGTCTACTTATTTGAAGACCCAAATAGGTATTGTTTTAGCAGTTATTGGTTTCCTTTAAGATAGATGTTCAAGCATATTTAAATGCTGATGAATAGAGGAAGATATCCACATATCTCCAGCAAATATTTATTAAGCACTCATAGGTGAAAAAATTAATTAATATAGAAAAAGATCGTTGATCATATAACAAAGTTGTATTCAGAGCCTTCAACGTGCTGCCAGACCATGAAGAATCTACAAGGAAGAGAGTTTTCTGAGATAGCTAACAAACTATTTACCTATACCTTTAACGCTGCATACCCATACTATAAAAGAAAAACAGAAAAACAAAGTCTTTAAGTCTCCTACCTTACACAAAATAAACCCAACCATTTATTTCCTTCCATCAGACCATGGGGAATCTGCAGAACAAAGGCTGAAATTATTAACATGTCTTTAACGCTGCATACCCATACCATAAAAGGAAAACAGGAAAACAAAGTGTTTAAGCTATAATTCATAGAAACTAAGAATCACAAATAAACTGAATTCCTCTAACATTCTCTCGCATTTTGTCTTTGAAAGGAGACCATGTCTCTGTCTGAGGAGTGTTATTCCTTCTCTAAGAATTCTCAAATTTTCCTTTTGTCTCTAACTCTGGCTTGCACTTGAATTCTTTCCTGACCTAGCTATCTCTCTCTGTAGAACTTGAGTCCCTACTCAGGGGGATTCACCTGTCCTGCATCAATCTGATGATTAGTCAGTATAGACTAAATTATGCTCCAGTAACAAATATGTCCTACATCCCCCTAGCTTAGCACAACCAAGTTCAAGCTCTTTGCTCTGGTGAAGTCCACTGTGGATCAAGATGCTCTTCTCCATGAGTCTTGGGGCTTAATCAGCTTTAGTTTTCTGGTTCTATTATTTCACTATGTGGCTTCCTTGGATGCAGCTAAAGGAGAAGAGAAACAGGAATGAGAAACAGGGAACAAATAGATAAAAATGGCAGATTTAAACCTTAACATAGCAATATTTATTTCAAATATAAATGATCAAAATGCACCAATTAAAGGGCAGAATTTAGCAAAGTAACAGCCAAAGACTTTATCCTTACCCCACAGTGGTCATGTGCACCTGCCCTGCACACAACCTGGTCAGACCCAGCTCTCCTCCTCAGTCTGGTTCCCTGACCCCAGCTTACCCAGCCCAGTGCCCAACCTTGTACAAACTAAACAACCAAAACAACTCGGCCTAAGGCAGGGATGCCTAGCCATCCTACCTGCTCTCCCAGCCAGACACTTCAGCCTAATAACCCACAACATCCCCTGCTTTAAGCTGGGCAAGCCTGAGACCAGAAGCTGCAGCAGAGGGCAGTGGGGGAGGGGAGAAAAGTTGGGGGAGCTGAGGTCACTCACTGCAGTGAGTCGTCTTTTCAGTACGTCCCTGCCAAAACCCAATGAGGGGCAGGACTCTTAAGCAGCTGGGGCTGGGGCTCAGGTCCAAGACCAGGGAGAGGCATAGGCTGAGGGCATCCCCAGTCATAGCCCGGTATCCCTCCTCCATTCCTCTGTCCCTCGTCCCTTCCAGGAGCCCTGTTTCCTGCCCTGGGGCTTCAGCTGTTGTTCTCTCAGGTTGGTCTGAAGCTGCTGTTCCCTCCTAGCTAAAGACTCCACCAACTCCTCCTCAGAGAGTCTCCTCCATCACCCTACCTGGGAGCCATTCTGCTCCCCTCACTCCTTCTCCCCCACTTTTGGCCATATCTGGAGACCGCTTGGTTGTCACAAATTGGTGGGGAAAGGGAAATCTGCTGGCATCTAGAGGGTGGTTGCCAAGGATGCTACTCAATGTCCTACAAGCACAGGACAGCCCCCACCACAAAGAATTATCCAGCCCCAAATGTCACTGGTGCTGAGAATGGAAACCTTGCTCTGTGGCCTTAAAAATCTTTGAAGTTCTGAATTACTGTGGAAATTGTTTACAATTTAGCTGAGTCACAAGTGACAAGCTAAGTTTAAAAGTGGCTAGAATCACTATACAGCCAAGTGAGTTCAGCAAGTCAAATGTGCAAACCATGAAGCTGCTTTCTCTCTTTAGAGGAGAAGGTGACTGGAGGGGAATAAGGAAAACCCAGCCAAGGCCACCAGGCTGGGCCTTCATTACATCTTAAATTAGTAAATACAAAAAATAAAAGAAAGGTGAATGGGTGGTCTTTCTATCCAACAACTGTATCTCTCCCTATAAAAGTCCTCAAAAACAATCTTTGTGCCTTTTTTTCTTCCAGATAAAAAACCATCTCTGAAGCTCAAATTTATGTTGAAACCAGCCTCAAGGTCCACCTGTCCTCACAGATCCTGGATTTCTGTGTGAGCGGGTGAGGACCGTACAGAACTTGTAACAACAGGTTCCTGCAGCTTTCTGTATGCAGGAGACCTGCTAATGGGCTTTCTTGCGTTCAGGTTGTAAACACAAGGCATTACTAAGATTTTCAGGTTAAAATTAAATTACTCAATTTTCTTTTAAAGTATTCCAATGTTTAATTGATTGATTATTTTTTCATTTGGTTAGAAACCAAGGTATGTGTAATAATACATTTGCCATTAAACGCACAAAGGACATGGGCGTAAGCAAAGCTATATTGGGCTGAGAAATGACTACAGATGGTAAAGAAATAAGTATAACAATATATTATTGGATTATACCATTAATAGATATAATCTGCATAACAATAATACCACCAAAATATCAAAAGGGACTAGAGCTTGATAAGGAGAAAATACAGAGATGTTCGTAGTTAAATTACAGTGGCTAGTGAGTGAGAGAAAGAGACAGAACAGTTAGCCTGTTAATAGCTGTGGGCCAGCTCTGACGAAGACTGCTCACATTTCTGTACATCTGTTAGAATTTAGGATTAATTTCCACATGGGTATTTCCACAATTATTGCAAAAAGAAAAGAGCCAGGCACCATCAAACCCCAGGAACCTCTGCTTCTTATTTACACTTGCACTTTTCAACTTGCTTCCCACAGGCAATCTACAGGCGCAGACACTTCTTGCTTGCCAACTGCACCTACCCCAGAGCTGGCCCCCTTCGGCTTCTCTACAGCTAATGTAAATTCTTTCAGAACAGCTTACATCTCTCTCCCCACTACCTGATATATAAAAATGCTCAACAACTCCAGAACAGTGGATGTGCTTGTCTTCTCCACACAGCATGCTGCTGCTGGTTCAGATTTCAAGCTCCAGGACCTGGTCTTTTTTCGTCAATAAGCCCCTTTTTTAAAACATACTTTCAACCATGGAAGTTAAAATGTTTTGAGTAGCAAGCTATATAAGAGTAACATTTCCATGTAGCACTGGAATTGAGCTAGTGTAAGTCTGAGGCTCATTCTCATAAATTAAGACATATATGTTAAACAGTAGAGCAACCCCTAAAAAAAGACTTTAAAATATATAGTGAAGTCGCGTGAAAAAATGAAAACGCTACATAAGAAAATATTTACTTAATGCAAAAGAAAATTATAAAGGAGGAGTAGAGAAACTAAAATCAACATGAGAACTGTAGAAAACAAAAAGTATAATGGCAGGCGTGTTTGCAATGCTATCAATAATATGAAATGTGAATGGATTACACAACCCAAGAATATTGTCACTACGAATATTTAAAACATCGTCTAAATATATGCTTTGTACAAGAAACAGACTTTAGATTCAAAGATCTAAGTAGATTGAAAGTAAAAGCATGGGAAATGATATATTTGTAAATAGCACCCTCATAAAAGCTGTAAAACTATACAAATTTCAGGCAAATAGGCTCAAAAATAAAAAAAAATACTAAAGATAGTAATAGTAATTATATCATGACAAAAGGGTCAAAGTTTATTGTCTGCATCTAAAGCAAAACATAATAAACAATTCATAGTCATTCTTGTTTATGTTAACAAAGAATAATATCAAATCAATAACCTAAACTTTTACCTTAACAGACTTGAAAAGATGTAGTACCAACCCCAAAAGGAGAAAGGAAATAATAAAAACTAGTGTAGAAATGAATAAAATAGGAAATAGAAAAATCATACAGAAAATCAATGAAACCAAAAGTGGGTTCTATGGAAAGACTAACAGAATTGACAAATCTTTAGCTAGATTGACCTAGAGAAAAAGCACGAAGATTCAAATTCAAAGAATCAAGAAGAAAGAAGGATATTACTACTGACATTACAGAAGGAAGAAGAATGATAAAGGAATTCAATGACTGATTGTATGCCCAAAATTAGATAACTGAGATGAAGTGGATAAAGACCTAGAAACATACAAACTACTGAAATAGCTCAAGAATAAACTAAAGCAAGTGAAGCAGTTGAATTAGTAGACAAAACAAAACAAAACGAAAACAAAAAATACCCACAAGTTAAGCCTAGTCCAAAAGGCTTCAATGCAGAATTCTCCAAAACTTGTAAAGAAGGTTAGTACAGAAATTTTACGAACTCTTCGCAAAAAATATACAATGGACAAAACCCTTTGCACTCATTTTCTGAGGCCAGTACTACTATGATTCCAAAACCACCAAGTTATCACAGAGAAAAACTAACACCTCTTTCTTTGAGGGATATGGATGCAAAACCATCAACAAATACTAGCAAACATGATCCAGCAAAAGATACAAAGAATTAAACACCATGAGCAAGTGGGATTTATTCCAGGGGTGGAAGTTGGGTTAACACCTCAAAATCCATTAATATAAAAAATGAGATCAGTACAGTAAAAGGCAAAAATGGCAAAATCATTTCAGTAGACTCAAAGAAAATAATTGACAAATTATTTCCTTTTATGATTAGGACACTCAGCACACCTAGAACAGGAGGAAATTTCCAGACCTCATTATCAGCATCTGTGGAAAACCCACAGCTAATATTATATTTAATGGTGAAAGACTGAATGCTTTTCCATGGAGATAAGGAAAAAAGGATGTCTATTCTTGTCACACTATTCAACAGTTTACCGGAGATTTTAGCGAGAACCATTAGGCAAGAAAAGAAATAAAATGCATGCGGATTGGCTAGGAAGATGTAAATTTATCTCTACTTCCAGATGAGGAGTCTTATACATAGAATATTCTAAGGAATCAAAAAAAAGAAAAAGAAAAACCCTATTCAAACTAAGAATTGAGTTCGGCAAGGTTGTAGAATTTAAGGTCACAATATAAAAGTCAATTGTATTTCTACACATTTGCAATGAACAATCTGGCAATAAAATTAAGAAGACATGCATTTACAATAATCAAAAGGAATAAATTTAACAAACACATACTCTGAAAACTGCCAAGTAGTCTCAAAAGAGCTTAAGAGTTGTATAAATGAATGGGAAAGATTCCAAAAGAGTTTCGCTATTCAATTTCTTCAGGCACATTAATTTCCAGGTTAATTAACACAACCACTACTTCAAATAGTTGTGTGTGTGTGTGTGTGTGTGTGTGTGTGTGTGTGTTGAGAGTGCTTATTCAGTGTTTTAGCAAAGTTTAAGTATAGTGTACAGTATAGGTATATCAAATCATCACATGGTAATCTTTAAAATATAGACTGATTGATTAGTAAATTATACTTCAATATATTCAGAAGGAAAAAGTTTCCAGGTGCATCCCACATTTATATAACTATTTATTGTTATTCATATAGTACTAAAAATAGGAATCAATTGTCTTAGGGGTATGACAGTCGTTTGCATTTCAAAGTTCTCCAAGGACAGAGGAAAAACTAATGTAAATTAAATTTCCTTTCAGTGTAAAATGTACAGCTGAGAGTGTAATGAACACATCTCACCCCCTGGGAAGAGTCCCTGAGCCCAGGCTAGGGCTGCAGGACTCCAACTTCCCACCAGAGCCAAGTGCTCTGGGCTTCCTTCTCTTAAGGACCAAATGAATGGGGGGTGGGGCAGGGATGGGTGGAAGGCTCAGTGCTTTCAAGGATCAAAGACTAAAACGGGGCCAGACTCTATTACAGTCACATTTAAGTGTCTGCGTTTGCAAACAGGAGTCTCAGTTACGTGAGTGGGCTAAACAGCCTTATCGCCAAGTCCTTCTCACCTAGAGGACATAAGGCCCTGTTATTCCAGCCTGGCCAGTCCTGGGCCACTCTTTTGTCTGTTATTTGTTTTATTTGGAAACTGAATCAGGAATTCCCTGTGCACAGCTTGCCCTGCCGTTCACAAAGAGCTGGGGAAAACAACACAGAAAGCCCCAGGACTAAAAAAATTCTGTTTGTACAAACGTCCCATGGTGGGTCCGGATCCGGCCCGCCTGAGCAAGATGTTTCCTTGGAGCCAGGGTCCTCCTGCCTGCTGTCACTCAGGCAGAGGAGAGCGCGGTCTTTAGATCTGTCCAATCAGGGGGTCCGTTGGAGCAGGTGGGTGGGGCGATGCTCCGGGAAGTCGTGGTAGTCTGTACCCTGTGTGGCTGCCTGAGGGTTCGTGTTTTCCCTGCCTTTCATGATCACTGGGGTACAGCCTGTGTACAGCTGTGATCCGTACCGGTTGTGGGAGTCGTAGGCAGAACTCGGGAGACCCAGGAAATCTGGAAATGGTGAGTGTGCGGAGCCCGTGCAGAGACTGGGAGGAGGGCCTGGAGGGAACCGGCTCTAACCGGCGGTGGAAGGACGCGGCCGCCCCGAGGTCCAGTGTGGAATCTGCGGACGCGGGGCTGCCTGTGGCGCCGCTGGCACCACAGCGTGGGCGGGCAGCTGGGACACCGCGTGTCCTGTCCCGCCACTGTGCGTGGTTACTTCGAACCGGCCCGGAGCCTCTCTGGGCAGCTCTGGGCCCGCAGCCCCGCGTCTCCCCAGATGGCGCGGTGACCACAGGGAGGGTCGTCGGGGGATAATTGTGTCTGCGAGTTTGTACTTGGGAGAAGCTGTGGCCTGTGGGGTCCCCAGTCCCTTCTTTCTCTCCAGGGGCCCTCCGTTGTCTCCTGAGTTTTCCAAATGTTTGAAGAGCAGGGTGTCAGATCCATGACCCTGTACCCCTAACCTAGCTCTTTCCAAGACTGGCAATAAATCCTTAAATTTCTAGTTCCCTCCTCGCGTTCTGAAGCGCTAACTTCCCCTCTGCGATTCATATCAGCATTATCAACTATTTGTCATTTTTTCCACAGAGCCATAGATAGCTCATTTTAAAGATTTAATTTTTTTTTTCTGGATATTTTACATGAGAGGAGAGCCGGGAATAACCACCTGGAAAACTTGAAATCCTTGAAATCAAGTAGCTTGAAATCCCCATTCCTCTTCCCAGGACTCCGCCCCACCCCGGGTATAGACGTCTTGTGGGAAGTTATTTGGGTGGAGGCTCCTCCTTGAATCTTTCCTGGGTATTTTGTCCCGTGAGTTCGGCCTCTCCCCGGGTTTGTCACTTAAAAAGACTTACCGACTAATTTATGTCTGTTTTTCAATAGGGGTAAAATGTATTTAATTATAAAGCTTGAAAGACAGTATAAAATAGTTCGGAACAGGCATAAGAGATGAATTTCCGAAAAAAAAAAAAACAGACAACAAACATTGCAGTCTTACATTCCATTTCTGTAGAATTCTTTCACTCTCTCTTCCCCTGAGCATGTCTAGTAATTTTCTGAGGTCTTCTTTTTACTTTTGATGGTTTCAAATAGATTCCAGGTTCAGACTTGCAGGGCAGAAGTGCTCAAGTATGAATCATTATTTACAAACCAATTACTTTCCCTGGAAATATAATTAACTGACATATTTTTCTGAAAAGAATAGATATTAAGGATTTTATAACTGAGCTAGTAGAAGACCCTTATAATTTTATTTCTTCCTTTCCATGTAACACTGGGTTTATGTGAATTTGGTGGATTGCGCAAACACTGAGTATCATTTAAAATATCAGTGGTGGTCCAAAGGAGCTCCAGTACAATCAGAAGCTTGTGGTCAGTGACCCAAGCCAAGGTTTCCTTGACCTGCAAAGGGAAGCACTTGAAGGCCCAGTGATTCTTCCTGGGGAGCCTCCCCCTGCAGGTATCCTACCTGCTCACACCTACTGTGGAGGAGCCTTCACACTGAGAGAAGCTGCAGCCCTGGAAAGATGGAGGTACATGTGTACATGGGGGAGGGGGCGATGATGCACATTCTGAGGTTATAGCTGTGGTTTTTTAGGACTAGACATTTTTAGATCTTGTGTTTGAGTTTTCTATCCACAGTCAGTGTAATTCGTGCACATTGAGAACGTCTGTGAAGATCAGGGGTTCTTTCTCATAGACAAAGGGTTTATGAATTGAGGAGTTCATTTGGGTCAGAACTTAAACGGAATCAGGGCCAGTTTTCTCACTGTGAGCATGGAAGCCTGGGGGAGGGAGTGCTTCTGTGCTTACAGGAAAGGGAGGGATGTCGAGCTCCCAGAGTTCATTCCTGGGGCTGCTCAGGAGTCCCACCCTCCTTCCCCAAGGGACTGACCCACTACAGGGGTTCTGCGTTAACCAGGAGTGCCTAGACCCCCCTGTTTGAGATTATGTTTATCCCTCTGAATCTTTTATTTTATTTTTCCCTGAACTATAAGGAAGCAGTCTGCTTATCTGTTTTGATTCCAGTAGTTGGTGTTTCTTTTCATTGGTTGGTTTCCTTTATCCAGTGAATATTGCAGCCCTCTGATTCTAGTGTCCATTAGCACCTGGGCATTTAAAATATAACTTAATTGAGAGATACCGTGTGAATACGGCCAGAGATTTGGGGAACCAAATAGAATTTTGGTTGCATTTAGGCAGGAGAACTTGAAGATCTGAGATGGGTGCTTTTTAAGTTCTCAGGTGCTTTTTCTATTTTTAGGTCATTTTTTGTAAGTCCACGTCTTTGAGAGCTTTAGGCCGTGCTATGCCTGAGTATTAGTACAGGCAGAACCAGGAAAAAGCTCCAAGAATGAAAATGTTGCTTCATAAGCAGACGGCAGGGAAAGAACTAAGAAAGAGGCTGCCACTCCAGTCTGGTGATGATTTTATTAAGGGATATTTACATACGAGGCAGGGGTACTAGTACTTGAATGCTTCCAGTATGGAAAATTACATGCTTGACCAGGTTTTGACAACAGCCTGGGCCAGGAACCAGCACATAGCAGGAGGCCAAGGTGGAGTGCTGATTTTTGTCAGAAAGAACATGGATTATGATTAGACAGACTCTGGGGGAGGGCAGCGCTGCAGAAAGCAACTTCCATCCAATCGTGGTCTAGTTTGTGAGATAGATAGCGGTCACATCATGGAAGTCTCCACACTAAGGCAAATTAATTACCGTTTTAATGGATCTAAAGAAAAAACAATGGGATATGTGTTTTCATTTACAGGAGGAAAACACCTCAAAGCTTATGCAAATCTTTGAAATTTGTAGTCTATTTCAGGGCTGGATTATAAACCCCTAATGCATTATAATATGCTACTCAATCCTGAAAATATCTCAAACGTGAAATATAGTGGATAGAAAAAGTATTATAATGTCCCTTTTTTTTTTAGATAGAAAAGGATGTGTAAATTTTTTATGATCTAGTGTTTGACATCACTTAGTGTTTAAAAGACATCACTTAGTGTTTAAATCTTAGAGAGGTTTCCTATGCAGAAAAGTTAAAATTCAATTAGTTTTGAAAAGCAAAATTAATTAATAATGATTCATCATAGGAAAATGTGGTATATATAAATTTCTATCCTGTTTTAAATAATGAATGGCAAAGCTATTTTTGAAAATGCTTAAAAGAGGAAACTAACTTAAGATCACTATCTTCATGTTGCTCCTGTGCTTATTCTGCCCACCCTCCAATCACTAGGTTTGATCACTTCTAAATCATCCTGTTAGAGTTTCTTTATATAAAAACAAGCCAGATTGTCTTGTGTTTGTTCTTATAATGAGGAGTCAGGGTCCACATATTTGATGTTTGACTCCTGACAACTTAACCCCCATCTCTCCCTTTCTCTGGTGCTTCTTATCTGTCAGGCTGATGAGGACCCGGAGGTCCACACATGGGAAGCTGCAGCCCTCCTGTGGGCTGTGCTGCCCTGCGCTGTGTTGTGGACCCACCGAGCCTAGGGTCTGTATAGCCTCCAAGTTGTGAGTTTAGGTAATTCCTTGTCTTCTGGCACAGTACGGGAGTGGGGCACTCATTAAAATGAGTCGAAGGTTTGATTGAGACTGAGGTCACCCCAACAGGATGATGTCTAAGGGGCATTCGGGGATGATTGTACCCTGTGAATGAAACAAGCCCATCAGACGGTCTCTCCTTAAAGAGTAGGTATTTCAGATAGAGAGAGAGGAGACAGGTTAGGCAGCCCATAGCTGGTGGGCCGGGTCCTCTCTCCTGATAGCAGAGGACTCCCCAGGTTTCTTATGTACCTCTGCTGCTGCTGCCCCTGCCTCTGCCTCAGTGCAGACCCTGACCCTGCAGCTATTGGGGACCACACCCATAGCCTCACTGTGGCACAGTGAAGGAACTAGTTCAAACCAGATGTAAGCCTAGGGTTCTTAAATCCTATATAGTGACCATTTCCATGGATGGGGCCTCTAATCCTGATGGCACTGATTTGGGGACCCTCTGGAGGAAGAAATTTATGAATACTAGGGTAGAGAGGACATCCGTTTACCTGAAGTTTACCCAGTGACCTAAAATACAAAATAGGAAAGGACACGAGAAGAGGGAATAAGAGGAAAAAGGGCATTGAAAAAAAACCCAGAATTTGACCCAGCTGCAAATCTGAAATTTATCAGAAGTATTTAAATGAAAAAGATAAAAGGGTGTTCCTTGGCTTTTGAGCCTCTAAAACATAGGTTTTGAGTTAATGTGACCACCTCCTGTAACACAGTAATTCACAAACATTCACGAAGTTACTTAATGCTGTGTTAAATTACAGTTATACTTGGGCTCAGTAAATTTAAGCAAGGTCCCCCATGACCTCAGGGGAATTACTTAACAGAATATAGAGGACAAAGTGGTGTGTACTTGGCCTGAAGCATCAGAAATCTTTGCCTTTTCTCATACTTCCAGCACCGATTGTCCTAAAATGTCCCATCATGAGCAGAACAGCTCTGAACCAACAGTTCGTGAATTTAAATTATCTTCACCTAACTGGCTTCAGAAAATGGACTCCATGGGCCCTACCCCTGACTGAAATTAGTTAGTACGGCCCAGTGTAAAGTAAACAGGACCCTCAAGGATTGAAAACTGTTATAAGAAACCTTTTAGAGAAAAGTGATTATCCCCAGTGCCTCTTTCGAATAGCGGAATTTGGCCTCTTCTTAAACCTGGAAGAATGAATGACACCTCCCAGTGGATGACTGCAACCTTCAGGCTGTGGTGGCACCAGATCAGACCCTAGTCCCAGTTCGCAACATTATGGGAATTACTGACCCTATCCACTCACAACTGGTACACATTCTGCTATCACAGATTTGGCCAAATCTGGTCTGTTCAGTGCCTGTGTCAACAGCCTCCCAGCTGCACTTGGCCTTCATCTCTGAAGGGGTATCACACACCCTTACCTGGTTCCCTTCAGGGAACCCCAGCACCACTGCCGCTGCACACAGTCTCTGCAGGGAAGATCTGAGCTGTGTTTACCTTGCTCCATGGTAGAGAAGAGATAGGACGTGACATTAGTAACATTCTTCTTTGTGGACATTCATTTGACATTCAGCACATACATGTATTGACAAAAGGGGCGCACAAAAAGTGGATGGGCCATTGCCCCAGACATTATGAGGCCCTGCTACCTTGGTTACATTTCTAAAAATAAACAGAAGCCCCCTCAATTTGTGACACCATGGAGAAATAGCAGTAGTCCCTTTCAGCACCCACAACACTGTCTAGATTCTTATGTGTTTGGGAGGTAGCGTATTCCTATTTACAAATTTTACTTGAGCCCATTTATGCTGTTACTTGCAAATTGGCCCACCTTGAATGTGCCCCCCCTGCCAAACAGGCTGTTTAAATTGCCTACAGCAGGTACACCTGACAGTGTCCTCAGAGACCCCCTTACTAAAGAGCCTTCTCTATAGAGTTACCCATGATGGCCTCACATTGTAATATCTGTCTCCCTCTTTTAGTTATGTTGACTAGATGCTTATCAATTTTATTAATCTTGTCAAAGTACAGCCTTTATTTTTTTCCATTGGTTTCCCACAATTATATGATTTCTAATTTTTATTATTTCTTTAATTCTGCTTACTTTGAGTTTCATTAGCTCTTTTTCTTTTATTGTTTCCTAAGGTAGCTGCTTACATTATTGGTCTTTCTTTTTCTAGTGCATTTGTTTAATGGCATAAATTTTCTTCTAGGTATTGCTTTTGCTGCATCCCGCAACTTTTGATAATTTGTATATTTATTTTATGTAATTCAAATCATTTTTCATTTCTCTCGATACTTTTTCTTTGATCCCATGTATTATTGAGAATTGTGTTGTTGAATCTCCACAGATTTGGTGATTTTCCAGCTATCCTGCTATTATTGATTTCTAGATTAAACCTGTATGGTGTGAGAGCTTATTTTATGATTTCTGTTCTTTTAAATTTGTTAAGATGTGTTTTGTGTCCCAGAATGTGTTCTGTCTTGGTGAAGGTTCCATATGAACTTGAGAAGAATGTGTACTCTGCTCTTGTTTACATGGCAGTGTTCAGGTCAACTCTGTCTTTTGTGATTTTTTGCTGCTGGAATTTATAATTTGTGATAAAAGAGTATTGAAATCTACAGCTATGGTAGTGGATTCATCTGTTTCTCTTTGCATTCCATGAGTTCTTGCCTCATGTATTTTGCCCCTGTGTTGCTATGCACATATATATAAGGGATTGCTGTACTTCCTTGGAGATGGACTACTTTTTCATTATGTAATGTCTCTCTTTATCTCTGAGTGCTTTTTTTTTTTTTGGTCTGAAATCTGCATTGTCTGAAATTCCTATCCCCATGCCAGCTTTCCTTTGATTACTGTTACCGCGGTACATTTTCTCCATGACTTTAGCTTTCATCTATCTCTGTGTTCATATTTAAAGTAGTTTTCTTGTAGACAACATATAATTGTCATTTTAAAAATCTGATATTACAGCACTGTATTTGTCTTTCAGTTGTAGTGAGACCACTGATTAAAGAGGTGATTGATACACTTGGATAATATCTACCACAGTTCGTCCTGTTTTCTATATGTTACCTTTGCTCTTTGTTTATTTTGCTCTTGTACATTTTCTGCTTTCTCTGGCTTTAATTGAGCATTTTCCCTAATTCATTTTCTTCTTATAGCGATTATATGTATTTATTTAAACTTTTTGTGGTTGCCCTTGAGTTTTCAGTATACAGTTACAACTGAGCCACTGCCTAAGTCAAGTTACAGTACACCGTGTCACTGGTCACACACTGTTTCTACTTCCCTTCTCTGTCCTATCACATTGTTGTCATTTTTTCCACTTATCCATAACTTATAGTTGTCAAATACATCATTACCAATTCTATTTTAAACAAAGCGTCATCTGTTATGTTAATTACAAGAAATACGAAAGATATTTTTCCTTCATTTACTTCTTTTATAATCCTCTACTTTCATCACTTACATTTTTTTCTGATGAATTTTTTAATGTTTCTTTCTAAGGAGGTGTATAATGTCAAATTACTTGTTTTTCCTCTCAGAAAATGTTTCTCCTTTATTTTTGAAGAATAATTTTGTTTGGTAGAGAATTTTAAGAGATTGGGGTTTTTTCCCCACAATTTTAAATATTTCATTCCACTCTCTTCTTGTTTGCATGGTTTTTGAAAAGAAGTTTGATTTAATTCTAATTTTTGTGTCTCTCTTACTAAGAAGTTTCCTTTCCCCTCTGGCTTCTTTCAATGCATTCTGTCTTTGATTTTCATCTAGTTCAAATATGAGATACTTGGATGTGAACTTCTCTTGTTTTTCATGTTTGGTGTTCTCTGACCACACTGAATCTTGCTGTTTATCATTAATTTTAGGAAAGTCTCAGTGATTGTTACTTCATCGGTTTCTTCTGTTCTTTTCTGTCTTTTACTTCAGATATTCCCACCACATGTATTTAACCTTCTGTTTAAAGAAAGTTTTCCTAGGGTTCATGGATACCGTATTCTATTATTTTGTTCTTGTCTTTGCATTAAACTTTGCTGACATAGATTTTTTTTTTTTTTTAAGTACAGGCCATGTTAAAAGCAATATTTGGACATATTTAAAATGTCGTGCTTATTATTTCTTTCCCAATTTTGGAGATACCAGATTGCCCTGTGATCTAAATTTTCTGATGGATCAAATAAGAGAAGTTCATTTCATTTTTTTTTTCTTTTTCTTTTGCCTTTTTGAGTTTGAGAATGACAGCTTCTAAGTTACTTAAATGCCAGACCAGAAACTGGCAGTCTTCATTTCCAATTTTTCATGATTGATGACTGACAGCTTTAGAGCCTCATCCTTCCTTCCCCTTGTGCCCCACATCTGTACAAGTTGATAAGAAACCTTAGTGCTCCCTTAGTGCTCCCTCCTTTGTGGTAGCAAGTGATTGAATCCATGCCAGATTCTGCTCTTTTGTGTGAACACTCTCCTTAGCTCATCTCCAACCTTACGAAAAAATAAATCCATACACCTTTTTTTTTTTTTTTTAACCCCTTGCAGGCTATTTCATGCCTGCTTGAGAGGCCTTACTATCTTCAGAAACCTCAATTGTGGAAGCACCTACTGGCCATGTATGGTGTCATGAACTGAAGGATTCCCATGCTCAGGTTGAGTGATCATAATTCTTTATGCCACAGAGGTGCTTGGAAATGACAGAAGAAGGGAGGGCAGCTTCTAAAGTAGTTGGTCAAGAAATGCTTCCTCCTGATTGGAGAATGGAGCTGTTATGTTCTGTTGCCTAAAATCACTGCTTCAGCCTCTACATATTTTATTATCATGAATAAGTTCACCATCACACTATTAAGGACATCAGTGAACTCCTTTGCAGTCTAAAGTTATTAACCCTCTGTGTCAACAGGACCCAGGGTAGACTGTTAACGGTTTTGATGGAAAGAGCACTTCTGGCATATTATTATCTCAGTATGTGTCCATGTGTGCCAAACATTGGCTGGAACAGCCCTGAGGCACAGGAGTTTAAGGATTTGGTGTTCCAAGTTGTCATGCCTTCTTGCTCGTGTCTGAGCTCTTAAGTTCCAAATAACTTTCTAGACCACCAAATCAGATAGAGTGAGAAAGGAAGAACTGAGGCTGTGATAAATATTACATAACAGCAGTGCTTCTCCATAAGAATATTTTCTTTCAGCCAGCTACATACAGTTACTTCTAATGTCCTGGAAGAATTAGGACAACATGGCCAGGTGGCTTTATTAAAAGTTGGATTTCCACAGGCCTCCTGGACTCTCATGTTTAGTGATGGGACTAGAACAAAAAGCTTGTAGTTCTTCATTATGTTTTTATTCATTAAAACCTTGTGCAGATATTAACATCTGCCTCATGGAGCACTGTAATTGGTGGGAAATAAGGAAGGAGATGAAAGAATTTTTCTCTCAAGAAATCGATCTTAAAATGATAATACTTGTTTCACTTGAATAGCATTTGTTTCCCAACATTCTTTGAATCATGCTGTTAGAAAAATTAGGACGTAATGTGATCACAGTAAGAATGTGTAAATGATTGCTATAGGTTCATGATGCTGTTAAATTTATGAGGAAGTAAATGTGTTCAGAGAGTAAGTTTCTGATGATAAAGTCATAGAATAAATATTTGGAGACTACAGAATCATATGTAACCTTCTTGTAAGTAGAGTGTAGATGTGCAGTGTTGTCAGTCTCTCACATTTTACTGTACACGTAATTGGAATTTTTTAGGATTTGGTGGCTTTTGAGGATGTGGCTGTGAACTTCAGTTTGGAAGAATGGGCTTTACTGGATTCTTTACAGAAGGAACTCTACAGAGATGTGATGCGGGAAACCTTCAGGAATCTGGCCTCAGTAGGTAAGAATGACAAGTTCCCTTTCTCAATTAGAGATCAGGTGTTTCTTACCTTTCAACAATGTTCTCAGATGTGTAAGGTGGGAAGGAAAGACATTGGTAAATAAACTGGGCATGGTCACAGCTCATTGTAGAGCTAGAATCTAATAATTTTTCTATAATTTCTAATACTTTGGAATCATTTTTCTGGGTCTGCATTTTAGGAAAAAAATGGGAAGATCATGATATTGAAGATCAGTACAAAAACCGGGTTAGAAAACTAAGGTGAGTCACAATCACAATAGAAATCATTGTCTAACATGACAAGGCTGGTATTCTGTAAAATTTTCAAAAGAAGCAAACAGAACAACTGCTGCTTCAAATATACACTTCTCAGAAAATTTTCACCAAATTTCTTTCTTATATATGATAAAAATGTTCAGTGTTTGAAAAGTGGTTCAAAAAGAAAACAGTGTTAGTAAACCCTATATATGAATATCACTGTTTTGATAATAGTAAGGCTGAAAGTCCTCTTGCAGAGCATTCAGTACATGTATTCAATTTCAGGCCATTCATTCAGACAAGGGGAAAACCTTCAATTTTGCTATAAATCAACAAAATGTAATTTAAATACCTACTAATAAACATAAAATCTCTGACAAATTGTTAATTATGTGCGTCTTGACAGAAGTCACAGAAGTTTAATATTAGAGAGACACTGTGAAGGTGAAAAGAGTAGTCAATGTGGAGGAAACTTCAGCCTTATTTCAAATCTCAATCTGAAGAAGAAAATTCTTTTTGGGAGAAAACCACAGAAAAACAGCGTGTGTGGGAAAGTTTTCATGCATCATTCTTCTCACAGTAAGCACATCAGATGTCACACTGGATATAAGCCCTTTGAGTATCAGAAATATGAAGAGAAGCCGTATAAATGTAACATATGTGGGAGAGCCTTCAGTTATGTCCAGTGTTTTGAAAAACATGAGAGAAAGCACAATGGAGAAAAAACCTATAAATGTAAGGAATGTGGGAAAGCCCATAGTTCTTCAACTTCACTTCAAATACATGAAAGATCCCACATCGGAGATAAACTCTTTGAATGTAAACAATGTGGTAAAGCCTACAGATATTACAGTGCCTTGCAAACACATGAAAGGACCCACACAGGCCAGAAATCCTATGAATGTAAACAATGTGGTAAAGCTTTCAGTTCTCATCTAGGTTTTCAAATACATGAAAGGAGTCACACTGGAGAAAAACCCTATGAATGTAAAAAATGTAGTAAAGCATTCAGTTGTCTCAGTTACCTTCGAAGTCATGAAAAAATTCACACTGTAGAGAAACCCTATGAATGTAAGGAATGTGGAAAAGCCTTCAGATATTATCATAATTACCAAACACATGAAAGAAAATTCACTGGAGAGAGGCCGTATGAATGTAAGGAATGTGGAAAAGCCTTCAGGTGTTATCAAAGTTTTCAGAAACATGAAAGAATTCACACTGGAGGGAAACCCTATGAATGTAAGGAATGTGGGCTAGCCTATAGATATTACAGTACCTTACAAAGACACAAAAGGACTCACACTGGAGAAAAACCCTATAAATGTAAACAATGTGGTAAAGCCTATAGAGGTCACAGTGCTTTACAAACACATGAAAGGACTCACACAGGAGAGAAACCCTATGACTGTAAGGAATGTGGAAAAGTTTTTATTTCTCATCTAGGCTTCCAAATACATGAAAGGAGTCACACTGGAGAGAAACCTTATGAGTGTAAACAATGTAGTAAATCCTTTAGTTGTGTCAGTTATCTTCGACGTCATGAAAAAATTCACACTGGAGAGAAACCCTATGAATGTAAGCAATGTGGGCTAGCCTACAGGTACTACAGTACCTTACAAAGACATGAAAGAACTCATACTGGAGAGAAACCTTATGAATGTAAGGAATGTGGGCTAGCCTACAGATATTTCAGTACCTTACAAAGTCACGAAAGAATTCATACTGGAGAAAAACCTTATGTATGTAAGGAATGTGGGAAAACCTTCAGATGGTACCAAAGTTTTCAAACACATGAAAGAAATCACACTGGAGAGAAACCATATGTATGTGAAAAATGTAGTAAACAATTTAGTTGTCTTCGTTATCTTCGAAAACATGAAAGAAATCACACTGCAAGGAAACGCTATGAATGTAAAAACTGTAATAAAGCATTTAGGTATCCCAGTGACCTTCAAAAACATGAAAGAAATCACACTGGAGAGAAACCTTTTGAATGTAAACAATGTGGTAAAGCCTACAAAGATCAAAGTTCCTTACAAACACATGAAAGAACTCATACTGGAGAGAAACCCTATGAATGTAAGGAATGTGGAAAAGCCTTCATTTATCACACAACATTTAGAAGACACATGACAACGCACACTGGCGAGAAACCAAGAAAGGTACAGAATTTGGGAAAAGCTTCAGTAATCCCATTTCCTTTCGAAAGCATGAAATAATTACCTGTATAAAAACTCTTGAATGTAAACAGCTTGGGAAAGACTAATTGGTCCGCATTTTTACATGTGAAAATTCCTATGAAAAAGAAATTAAAATGTAGGTAATGTAAGAAAGCTTGATAGAAATTAATTCAGGTGTAAGTGACAGAAAACTTTCAACATGAAACGTTTATTATTAGTGTTGTAAACATATTGTGTATATTGAACCTTTTTTTATAGTGCATCATTGGACTGGATTTCTATTAATTTCAGAAATGAATATTCATGTGAGATATTTCTGAGAGTTGTCTTTCGACAATAGTACATAAGATAAATAGTGCTTTTTTCTTGAAGTATTTAATAGTTCTATCGATTGTTAGCTAAGCCTATTAGATCCATGGTTGAATTGAAGTATATTTTTTATATGTTGTTAGGCTAAATATTTTTTATAATATTTTATTTTGTTTTAGGGGGCTATTGAAAAATGACAGTTTGGTATTTGGGTGTTCCTAGTGACTTTTTCTAGTTGCCTAGTGGCAGTCCCTCTTAACACAGCTCCTTTTGGTGGGGGCGGGGTGGTGAGTATTGGAGCTTTTTGTTTATTTTCCATACTAATGACTAGTAAGAATAAATTTTATGTGTGGCAAGTTTAGGAAAGAGTATAGTATCATGTGAATTTTTATTTTCATATTTGGGCCTTGGCTTTTTGTTCTTCCTTCAGACTGATGTTTGGTGAATTGACTATGAGCTATGAAGAGAGACCTGTGATAGGGCAACAAAATCTAGAGCTGGAGATTATCCCTCCCGTTGGGTAATGTTAGGAACTTGATTTTCCAGTTCATGTTAGAATTCCTTTGTAGCCTTACTTCTATGAGATTCGGAAGGCAAAAATGAAGACAGATTTTGGAGCCACCAGACAGACAGATAACTAGGAGCTTTGATGATAACGTCTTCCAGCCCATTATCCAAATTCTTTGACCTTCCAATCAAAACTATTCTCAAAACCACCACCAACTGTCTGATATTTATTTTCTGAGAAATGTAGGTTTCCGCTGATGTCTTCACAAAATCCACATCAAAGATCCATCAGTTTAGATTTTTCTGTCACCCCTCTTATGTCCACCAGGAAACTGTTTCAGCCTTTCATGCTTGTGAGTATTCTTTGGTTCCCTTCTTTGGATTATATCTGTATAAGGTCTAATTCACATAGGAAACAGCTTTATGCTGTTAATAGTTCTGGTGAGTATGTTTTCTTGACTGACTGTGACATCTACAATGGTGCACTGAAAAAGAAGGACATGGGAGTGTGTTTCTCTGCTGCCTTGACCTGGTCCTTCCATGTGAGAATAAGCACCTTCCTCCTGTCAGGAAGATTGTGGATGTTTCCTGTTACTTGTAGCTAAATGTAATCCCTTGGAATGTTTTCAGTTGTGTTTGATTGTATGTGATTAAAAGTATGTCTATTTTTTTTGGTCAAATGAGCATTTCTGTAGGTCTTTAATAAAATTTAATTGTTAGCTAAGCTGTTGTATACTAACAAATATTGTGTTTTTCAAATGTTAATATGTCTCATAATTAGAGATTTTAAAACAAACTTTGCAATTCTCTTCATTTAATCATTATACATTGAGTCAATTTTATCATGTGCATTCCAGTTCAAGTAATTTTTCTTCAGGCATATTTTATCTTTTATAGTTACAATTTTTGTCATGACTCTAATTGTCCTTTTTGCCTAATCCCCAAACCTGAAATCATGGTTTTCCTCAGTGCCCTCTTGCCAGTGACCTGGAGGATCGCACCTGTAGTCAAAGAGAGGAATGTAATTAATTCTAATAATTAGAGTGACCGCAGAATACACATGGCTGTGGGGTGTAACATAAAAGGTTGCCTAGAACTTTGTTAGGATTTGGCTTGTGTTGGGAGTATTTGAGGCAGCACAACGTTTTTGTATATTGAGTGCTATGAGGAGGTAAACATTATGTTAATGATAATATAAACCTTGTTTTTAGAATGCGAAAACATCATAGTGGAGCTAAACTTGATTTGTAAGAACTCCCAGTGAGTCATATTGTAAGAGGAGGGCAATATTGGTCATTTTTATGATTTGGCATTGTCGTATTTACCATTTGTGAGACATGTTTACAAAATATTTTTTCGTCTTGGTCCATCATGGTCAATGATTACCTTTGATGAAGTATGT